TTTCTATATTTTATGACTGACATTCTGACATTTGTTAGTCCTAACAAAACTGCCCCTCTCATGCAAATCAAAACTACAATGAGATACCACCTCACACCTGTTACAACGGCTGTTACCAACAGGACAAGTAATAACAAGTCTTGGAGAGGTCGTAGAGAAAGAGGAACCCTCCTTCACTGCTGGTGTGAATGTTACCTGGCACAGCCACTACGGAAAACAGTATGGTGTTCCTCAAAAAATTAAGAACAGAGTTACTGTGTGCTCATAAAATGAATACATTTGCAGCAACCCCTCTTCTGGATAGCTACCTGAAAAAATTGAAAGCATTTATTCACGAAGATATATGCATCCCTATGCTCACTGCAGGATTGTTCACCGTGGTCAAGACATGGAACCAACCCGAGCGTCCTTCGATAGAGGACCAGATAAAGAAGACGTGCTGCATATATGCTATGGGATACCACTCAGCCTTAAGAAAAGATGAAACACTGCCATTTGGGACAACATGGATGCATCTTGAGAATATCAATCTAAGCAAACTAAGTCAGAAAAAGTCAAAAACCATATGATTTCACTCATATGTGGATATAAAACTAAAAGGAACAAATGAACAAGCAAAAACGAAGGAAAATCATAGACACAGACGTGGGTACCAGAGGGATGCGGGGTTAGAAAGGGTAAAGAAGGTCAAATGTATGGTGATGGAAGGAGATTTGACCTCGGTTGATGAACACACAATGCAGTGTACAGATGATGTATTATAGAGTTGCACACTTGAAACATATAATTTTACTAACCAATGTCACCCCAATAAATTTAAAAATGAATTTTTTTAAGTTAGAAAAAAATGCCCCTCCCAGGACTAGTAGCTCCTAAAGACAGTAAGCCACTTGTCCAGGAGCACATCTCTGAAAACCAACCCAGAGCCCATATGAGACCCACCTGGTCCCCCTGGCCGTTCCACTCCAGAAGGGGCACTCCTCTGCCTTCATCAACTCAGGGCCAGACACCAGACCGTGAGGGCAGCCCCTACACCCCAGAGCACATGAAAGTCCTTCAGGCTGGCCCATCCCACACCTGGTCAGCCTGTTCCCCCTGCCTCACAAAAAACGCATGTAGGTTTTTGTCCATGCTTTCCCCTCAAATTTCCTGCCTCCTGACCAACCTGAGTGTTTCCCCATGCGGCTCTACGTGGTGTGCCATGCCTCCTGTGCCTAGGTAACTGTAAGGAAAACGTCTTCCTTCATGGAGGTCATCTCCCTGTGTGTTGGCCTCACCACACCTAATTAAAACAAAGCCCAGGTACATTTTAATAACCTACCTTAACACACATTGACTGACTGTCCGGATGGAAGATTTTACATGCTTAACACAGTTCTGCCCTGCTCTTCTCCTTACATACCCAGTGATCTGTGAGGTGGCATTTTAAAAGCAACTTAATTACGTATTATTGTAGAATGTTAAAATTATGTGGGTAAGTGGGCTAAATTCTAGTAGCTAAATAACATAGCTACTGTATGATTTTTTAATGAAATAACTACTCTGAAAGAACACAGCACCTGGTCTGCCTTTGCCCCACTCTATCACCTCCTGTCCTGAAACTTCAGGTAGCTTCCCCTCTGAGGAAAGTTTTCACGTCTTTACCCTTTACCTTTGATAAAGGGCAAGTGTCACCAGCCCGAAGCACTCAGAAAGGTGTTTAAGAAGATAATCTTCTACAGGATATAAATATACATGCAAATTCAGGTTTATACCTACACTATACTTGTCTCAATCTAGAGTAGCTAAATTTGCAGAACCAAGAATCAAGAAACATAATCTAAGCTATATTTTTATTTACAGAGTTATTCCCTACATGAATTAAATTACATTTAGGTATGCTAAATGTATACATATATCATTACAGAAAGAACAGAGTTACATGAAACCTGCATGGTTGCAATTCTGCTGTATCTAAGAATGTTTCCACAAGCATTCATTGAGTATGTACTGCATACAAGGACCCATGCTGATGGACAGAAATTTACCTAGCCCAGTCCTGGTGCCATGCCCAGCCTATTAGCTTTAGGCTCTAAGGGAAGAATAGCAGAGCTTCTCAGCTATGGATAATGTAGGTCAAGAAGAAGGTGAGCCACCTTGGCTGGTGTGGCTCTGTGGATTGAGCACTGGCCTGCCAACTTAAAGGATGCTGGTTCAATTCCTAGTCAGGGCACATGCCTGGGTTGTGGGCCAGCTCCCCAGCTGGAGACATGAAAGAGGCAACCAATCGATGTTTCTCTTGCACATCAATGTTTCCCTCCCTCTCTTTCTCCCTTCCTTCCCTTCTCTCTAAAAATCAATAAAAATAAATTTAGGAAAAAGAATAAGGTGAGTCAAATTTCAAGAAAAAGGTTTTTTTTAATGTTAGAAGTTCTAATTTAAATATTAGAATGTTAAAATTCAAAATGGATTAAAGATTTAAATATTAGGCCTGAAACCATAGAAACCACAGAAGAAAACACAGGCAGCAAACTCTCAGGCGTTATTTGTAGCAATATTTTATCAAATATATCTACCCAGGCAAGGGAAACAAGAGAAAAAAAACAAACAAACAAATGGGACTACATCAAACTAAAAAGCTTTTGCACAGCAAAGGAAAACATCAACAAAATAAAAAGACAACCCACAGAAAGGGAGAACATATTCGCCAATATATCTGATAAGGGGTTAATATCCAAAATCTGTAAAGGACTTAAAAAACTCAACACCAAAAAATCAAATAGCCCAATTAAAAAATGGGCAAAGGACCTGAATAGACACTTCTCCAAAGAGGACATGCAGATGACCCATAAACATAGGAGAAGATCCTCAACATCACTAATCATCAGAGAAATGCAAATAAAACCACAGTGAGATATCATCTCACACCTGTCAGAGTGGCTATCATCAATAAATCAATAAACAAGTGCTGGCGAGGATGTGGAGAAAGAGGAACACTTTTGCACTGTCAGTGCAAATGCAGACTGGTGCAGTCACTGTGGAAAGCAGTATGGAGATACCTCAAAAGATTAAAAATGGATCTGCCTTTTGACCCAGAGATCCCACTTCTGGGAATATATCTGAAGAAACCCAAAACTCTAATTCAGAAGAACATAAGTACACCTATCCCTATGTTCATTGCAGCATCATTTACAATAGCCAAGATACAGAAGCAGTCCAAGTGGATAAAACAACTATGGGACATTTACACAAGGGAATTCTACTCAGCCATAAAAAAAAGAAGAAAACTTTACCCTTTGTGACAGTATGGGTGGACCTAGAGGATATTATGCTAGTAAAACAAGCCAGTGAGAGAAAGACAAATACCATATGATTTCACTCATATGTGAATCTAATGAAGAAACTGAACTAAGTAACACAGAGACAGACTCACAGATAGAGGGAAGGATGGCAGCTAAGGAGCGGGGGTAGGGATCAAGCAGAAAGAAGAAAGGACTCACAATAAGTGTGATGATTGCTGGGGTGGGAGGGGATATAAGGGGACTAAACAGTAATGGAAACGACACAATTAAAAAGATGATATTGCAGAAAATGCTTTAAAAATTTAGCTCAGTAATACTGGAATGTTAGGCATTGTCAGAGGTGTGCATATCTCTTTCTAGCCTGAGTGAAGATGTGTCCTAGTGCTCTGTGTTTTCCTCCACACCCAATACAGTTTTTGAAATAAATTAAGTTTTACTTCCATTCATATGTACACATCTGACATGTAAAGGTACTGAATAAATCCATCAATCCATTAGTTCATTCCATGGTCTGAAAGTCTGTGTCTCCCTGAAACTCATATATTGCAATCCTGACCCCCAAAAGTGATGGTGTTAGTAGGTGGGACTGTTGGGGGTGATTAGGTCATGAGGCTGGAGACCTTGTGAGTGGATGAGTACCATGTAAAGAGAGTCCAGAGAGACCCTGAGCCCCTCCTACTATGTGAGGACACAGGGGAAAGGCATCAACTATCAGCTGGGAAGAAGGCTCTCACCAACCATACTGACACCTTGATCTTGGACTTCCCAGCCCCCAGAACTGTGAGAAGTAAAAGTCTGTTTTTATAAGCCACCAAGTCTGTGGTATTTGTTACAGCAGCCGAAACGAACTAAAACTCTTACTGAGATGCTTCACTGGGTCATTTGCTGTGCTAGGTACTGGGGGAAAAAACAAATAGTGAACGTGTCACATAAGTCCTTGTGCCGACAGAGCTTCTAATCTAGTGGAATGGAATACACGTTCATCCCTCTTCCCGCTTCTGTTGTGCCCTCTTAAATGCCCTTTCTTGTTTCCTATCTTAGCCACAGCCCACAGCCCAGCTTCTCTAGGTCCACCAGCCCAGGTTGATTCTGTAAGTGTTGTTACTTATCTTGCCCTTCTTGCAACTTTTTTGTTCTCACTCAGTTACTTGTTGGCATTCTGATGCATTTATTTTCCCACAGAGATTGAAACCTCTCGGTGTTTTTGGACACTGGTGCCCCACAGACACATGTGAAGTATCTGGGTCCTTCTAGTCACCCCCCTGGAGTGGTCTAGACGGAAAACCTCTGCCGTCTGCCAAGAGTGTAGCACTGATGTCTCTGGCCACCTCCTCAGGAACAACTGTAAGAAATGGGCTCCCATTATTTTCCAACACCTATAGCATCTCTGGATGAGTGGAAGGGGAGTTCGGTTTGGCTTCCAAAAACCTGCGTTGATATTCCAGTTTAGATTTAACTAGGAGAAGCAAAGTGCAGTATAATCAATATGAGCTGAATGCCTTAGGTGTTTTGGCAAGAGAAGGAATAATCAATGAAAGCTTCACGGAACGGATAGAATCTGAGCAGGAGGTAAAAGACTAGCAGGTTTGACAGCAGAAATGCGATGGGAAGGTACACCAAGAGGAGGAAATAGCATTAAATAAATGAACCAAGAGACAGTGACTGCCCTCCAGATCTCTCTGCAGCCCTCTCTGCCCTCTCTGAGCCCTGAGCACTGACCTGTAGGGCAGGTACCAACTGGCTTGCCTTGTCCTCTGGCTTCCACCTGGGTTCAACCAGATTAGGGGCTGGAAAAAGAGCAAGATTGGGATATTTATTCCTCAGACCCCTCCCTGTGAGCCTTTAGAAATCACTCCCTCTACTTGCTTCTTCAGGCCCCAGAGCAATACAATGGCTTCACCACTCTTGGTTCCCCTCACCCTTGCCCACACCTTTGTAAATATGTATTTTGTTAAGCCTTTCTTAATAACATGTTTGAATGTGTTTCCCAGAATTCTTTGCTGATAACCATACTGTGGGAAGGGCTAGTGTATGTTTGGGCAACGCAAGTCCAACCCGATTTGACTGACGTTGTGAGGAGCAAACAAGAAAGGAACATCACAGGCTGGTTATAAAGGGTAATGCTGTGGACCTGCAGCTTTCTAGTGAAGTATCAAAGTTTTGAGAAGTGATGGAACAGAGTGGCAGCTTTGAGAAAATGAACCTCATGTGAGGGAGCAAATTAAATTGGAAGAGAGACAAAACCAGCTCTGGAAGTCAGGAGACTTGTGCAGTGGTCTAGGTGTGAGTGACGAGGACCTGATTAGGTGCTGGCACTAGGAACACAAATAAAGATCCAGGCGAGACAGAGGTAGGAAAAGGGGAATAACTGCATGAGAGGTAGGAAGGGCCCGCGGGAGGAAAGAAAGTCCAAGCTGACATCCAGGCGGCTGGAGAGAGGGGCATTACATGGGCAGAAACAGCACAGTGAAGGCAAGGGCCTGTCCAGGTTAGGGTGGGCAGGTTTGAGGCTTGGGGAGTAGAATCACCTAGAATGAGCATCGCATAACTGTGGTCAAGGAGGAAGGCAGCCTAAGGCAGACGTCCACTGGGAAGAGAGACAAACTAGATTGGAAAGGTACAAGTAAAGTAAAGTAAATGTAAGTAAATGTAAGTAAAGTTTGGGTTTGGGATCTTAATCCTAGACAATCATAACCCCAGCTAGGGGCCAGTCACAAAGTAGCCACCTGCAGGCCAAATGCAGACCAGAGCTGTTTTGTTCGGCTCACAGTTCTCTTAAATTTTAAATTAGTGCCAACATTAAAAATTTTGCATATCTTGCCAAAAAATTTCCAGGTTTTCAGCCTCTCTGACAACAATGGGCCCACACTGTCACATGTCAACACCCGGCTGAGCAGTCATTGCCCATCCGCGTCCTGCATGAGGACCCCGTTCACACCAGCCCCTCGTGGCCTATGTCACTTCTTTATGTCACCTGCTGGGCCCTGGCACCCATTTTGAGCTTGTGGTCCCCAATAATGGCAGTGAGAGTCCTTAACAAAAGGTCTTAACAAAATAGATGTCTTCAAAGACCTCTTGGGGAAAGTTGAGAGGACGAATCGGAGCAATTCAGCTGAGCTCAGCCTTTCTGAGTGTGTCCTACGTGCTGCGCATTGTGCTAGGCACTGCAGAGATGGTGATGAATACAAAGAGTCTGTCTGTCCTGTAACAGGAAAGACCAGGAATGTGAAGTCCTGTCAGCAGCTGTTGCAGAAATTCTATCACTAGTAAGGGCTTAGATTAGACCATGAGAACATAAAGAAAGGTGTAAATGCAAAAGGTGTAAAATGCTGAAGGAATTTCTATGAAAATTAGCCATAGAGGACAAAGACAGAAGAATGTGAACTATGACTGTGTTCCGGAGAAGATAAGAGAGGGTGTAAGCAACAGCAGTAGTGGATTGCTCAAAGTGCAGTAAAAGGTCCAAAGCGGGGTGAGAGGAGGAAATGAAAATCTAATGAGCGGCCTACAAAGGGATTACCCAGGCTGCACCCTTCCTCTTGGCACACCTCCTCTTAAGTAATGGCAGCACCGTCCCCGCCTGTGTGTTCTGGAGCTGGACTGCTTTTTGTTAACAAATAAAGAATATGAAGCAATCTCCATTTAGTCCCACAGGGCCAACTGGAAACTCTACCTTTGAAGCTGTTTAAATATTATTAAATATTGGCCCTGGCTGCGTAACCCAGTTGGTTAGAGTATCATCCTGACACATCAAGGCTGTGGGTTCGATTCCCCAGTCAGGGCACATATAAGAAACAAACAATGAATGCCTAAATAAGTGGAACAACAAATTCATGTTTCCTTCTCTCTCTCTCTCGCTTGCTCTCTCTCTCCCTATCTCTCTCTAAAATCAATAAAATACAAAAGTAAATATTATTAAACAGTTGTTTAAATATTAAGCTGTGAAGTAAGGCTTTGGTAGAGGACAAGGAGCAAATCGTCCAGGAAACAAACAATCATATCCAGTTCCCTAATGATTCAGCATTTAGCCACACTGGGCTTCTTTAGTTCCCTATGGGCAAATGGTAGAAATTTTCCTCAAAGAGCCTCTGATTAAGAGTTACTAGTGAAGATCTGGCAACGAACAGTGGCTCCCTTTGCTGCTGAGAAATTTTCTGCAAGTGTCCCTGTCCTCCACTCATTTTACAGCCAGAAAGCCTTCTAACAGGGAGGCACTGACAATTTCACTAACTCACACACTTCTAAGCAGAAAATAGAAATTATACTTACAGAAGGAAAATGCTTACATTGTGGCTTCAGAGCAGAAAAGAAGTCAATTGGATTATTTCAACTGAAAGTTAAAGGTTTTGACTGAATTATATGCCTTGTTTTTCTGCTTGCTTTAGCCAGGGGGAGCTTGAACATTCGTTTTCTAGTGCATAGGGCATCACAATGTAATTCCCCTTCATGTTCTTCCTTCACAGTCGGCCTCTAGCTAAGTACATTGAAGGTTTCTTTTCAAGAGAGGCCAGATGTGGAATGAATTTACTCCCCCAAGTCACCCAGCAGGGACCAGCATGGGCCTTGTCTCCTGAATCTGTTCAACGGTCACAGTAAAATCACTCGTCAGCCTCAGGAGTGCTGGGATTCCCACTCAGAGTCTCACATACAAGGAGACTCAAGGGGTGGGGTTTCATTTTAAACAGGCACTGGCCAATTAGTCAGGCTTATTATTTCCTGAAAATCAGCATGTCAGGTCTTAATGCAATGAGAAAAGACTCTTTAATTACCAGTTATACATCTGTTGTTTGAAAACTAATTGAAGAGATGCCAAACTGAATCCTTTACTGGTTAGTTTAGGAAAGATGAGGGGTAGGCTAGGTAACAGGTGTACCAGGTTTCCCAAGCTCATGTCTTCCCTCTGTCTAACCAAGTGGCACAGTTCCCCATCCCGGGGAGGTTTTGTCTTGAGGGTGCAGCGGGAGCCGGGAGACCCGGATTCATACCCCAGGCAGTGCCAGGCCGTCCTTTACTGGCCTGTCCTTTACTGTTCTGGCCATGCTTTCTTCTTCAATGGATAAAGGATTGCACTGGATGGCTTCAAAGGTCCCTTCCTTTTCTAAAACTGTGATCCTCTAAATGAGCAGAAAAGGGAAGTACAGGTTCACAAGCAGGTACTCAAATAGGAATACTTGTTCTACTCACATCTCAGATTGATCGGAGCTGTGAATCACTGCAGCAAAGAATGACAAGGGTTTATAACCAGACCTGCCCCAATGTCTCTTCCTCTTCTTATAAAGACACCAGTCGTATTGGATTAGGACCCCACCCTTAGGGTCTCATTTAACATTAATTACCATTTTAGGTCCTGTCTCTGAACACAGTCTAAGGTGCTGGGGGTTAGGGATTCAACGTATGAATTTTGAGGGGATACAATTTAGTCCGTAACACCACTATGTGCGCTTTCCAAAGTTATCGGTATAGATAACCCCAGTGTGCTCTTAAGCTCCTGTTCTTTACAAGTTCGCTCCCCATCTTCCTGCCCCAATGTAGCACTTTTACAGTGTAAATCACAGGGATGGCTAGCAGGACCTACTTTCCTTTTGCCTATTACCACCCATATTTGTTAGATTACACAGACTTTTAAGGCTGGGAATTCAAAAGCAACTAGCTTATTTCAGGTCTAGTCTCTGTAGCTTGGACCACCTCTCCTATTTACCAAATCTTCAGGGTCAAAAAGGAGTTATGCAGGAGGTGGTAGGGCAGGGAAAGGTGAAAAGAAGGAGGAGAGAGAAATGTACATCTCTGCCCAGAAATGTTTCATCATGGGTTCCCTATAATGATGGGTACATCATCACTCCTTTCCCTATAAGACATTTCCTGTTGTTACAACATCTTGTATTAACAAGCTGAGACAGATGGGAGGTGGAGGAGAAACTGTTGTGCAAAGGAATCCTCCTTTTCGTTTTCTCCAGCAGGACACCAGCCACAGGTTCTTACTCAGACCCATGAGCCCTGACTGACGATTCATGCACTCCAACTCCAAATGTGTTTACATATTTGTTCAGCCGGTGTAAAAGGAAAGGGGAATAAAAAGCCCATCCTGTCAAGGACATACAAGAAATGAATGCATAAATAAGTGAAACAATAAATCTCTTTCCCTCACCTTCTTCTCTCTCCAAAAATGAGTTTTAAAAAGTTTCTTTTAAGCCCAAATTTTAAACAGTTACTTCTCAAACCACCAACTCTCTCCTTGATGAATTTTGGTTTTTTAGATATAGCCACAAGCAACCCTCTCCAATCCATTTATTCATTCTAAAAGTATCTACTGAGTGCATTCCACATACCAGGATCGGAGGTACAGTGATGGCCATGAGCTTGCAGTACAGTGAGGGAGACAGACAAGCTCTAATAAATAGCACTTATTTCACCCCTCTGTACCAGGTGCAGTGCCAGGCACCTTACATACACTGTAAAGCATGATTTTCTCCACTGTACAATGAAGTGAAGGCACAAAGAAATTCAAAAGCCAAAAGAGGCACATTGCCCATCAATGGAAGTGTCGAGATCAGAACCCACAGCCCCTAACTTTCGGTGCCCTTTCCACTATCAGGGAATCTTAACCTGAGGCCATGAACCTGAGTGGGGAACAACTTCTATATCTTTACTTTTCACTCTCTAACTAAAATTTAATACTTTCTTCAATTACATATAGACCAAAAAATTTTAAAAAAAAGCCACCCACAGCAATTTAGCAGTACCTATGACTGTCACCAACAGAAATCACAGGTGTTTTCTTACATTACAGGTGTTGCCTATATCTTGAAATATTGTTTATGCTCATTACTACTTCAAAACTATGGTAGCTATTAGATCCACTGCTAGATATTGTTTAATGAATTACTTGTAAAAGCATATATTACTACATAATAAATTCTTTTCATATTTAAGTGCTTTGGAATTGTTTTCCTTTGCAATATTGTGCCTTTTATTTTATACTTTTAAAAGCACTGTACTGAGAAAGGGTTCTTAAGTCTTCCCATAACTACTAAAGGGGTACGTGACGCAAAAATGGGGCAGAACCCTACATTATAGCGATGGGAGGCCACACAAACCCAGAGGCTCTGCTCTGTGTCTTTCAGCAAGAAGCTAGGTTGGGGTTTTGGTAAAGGGAAACATAAACAGGAAAGAAAAGAAGCTGCGGAAGACCCTTTCTTTCTCCCCTTTACGCCTACTCAGTTCAGCACGGGCCGCAGGCGCAGCTGGCTCAGGGAGTGCCCACCAGTCCCACGCGCTCCGTGGGTGGATAAATGCGCCCGCGCCGTGGCAGGCGGGCTAACGCCAACCTCTGACGACCTGGAGGCTTGAGCGCCCACCCCGCTCCGGACGGTGCTGAGTGACACAGTCAACAAGTGGAAGGCGCCAGAAATTCCCACACCAAGACGGGATTCTGCGGTTTTTATCTGCCCCTAAAGTTCAACCCCTCGGTGCCCCCAAGGCCGGACACTCCTAGAGGGAAGCAGGAGTCCCAAGACCCAGGTTGCAGACGAGGAAGCCAAGAGCTGCGGGTACTGGGTGGGGAGGGAAAGTGCGAAGCGGGATGGAACGCGCTGCGCGAGTCCGCGGAGTCCCAGCCGCGAGAGCAGACCTGGGTCCACAGCCAGGCCCAGGGGTGCTTTCTGTCCCCAGCGGGACCCCCGCCCCGGACCGAGGGCCAGGGATCGGCTGCGGGAAGCCTCTTACCAGCGGCGACCGGAGCCTCCGACCACAGCGTTGGTGCAGCAAAAGCTGCGGCTCCCCACCGGGCCTCTGGGCCTCGGCTGGGGCCCCGCCCGCCCCGGGGCGGAGGCTGGAGGCGGGGAGAACGAGGTGCCCCCCGGGAGAGGTCCGGAAAGGTCCCACCGCTGCCCCACCCGGCGCCGCAGCCTGGGCACCAATGCCAAGTGCAGACTACACCCGGGCTTTGTGAGGACACAGAGGGCAGAGCACAGGCGCGGGTCCAGCCAGCTTGGAGTGCTGCCCGCGGGGCTGACGCCCTGCTCCCAGCACACCCTGGAGAGCGGTCCGGCGCCCCACGGCACCACAGCTGTGGGCTAGAAGACCACCCACCGCTTTCCCCGCTTTCCGCTTAGCCCGCCAAGTAGTAACCCCTTTGCGTAACTGGGAGGGGCGAAGTGGAGGCGGGCCGTGGACAGAGGCCCTGTGGGTCTGTGTCTGTCTTCAAGTGCGTCCTGTACTTCTCACCTGGCTCCCACGGCTGCTCGGGGAAACTGCAGTACCCTCCCGTACTCATTTCATAGATTAGACGACCGAGCCTCTGCAGAGCCCCCACAACTTGCCTTGGTGCGCGCAGGGGTAAGGCCGAGGTCAGTTGGCTCGCAGCCACTGCCCTCCACATCGCAATTCGTCAGACTTTCATGACTGGACTGTTTCAACTAGCTGCTCTTTCCAGGTGGGTGCAAAGTGTAAGTAAGTGGTTCTCCGCAATATCGGACCTTACAGCTCCTTTCAATATTATTCTAATATAATAATAAAGGGTGCCCCAAAAGTCTTACTGAAGCTTGGGATGTGTTACAAGGTTTTCCCCCAAAAAAGACCTTGAAAGTATAATTATTTATGTCCTTTACATTTATTTTGTTTTGTGCCTTTTGAATAATTATTTTTTTAAGGTTTTTGGTACAAATTGTTTTCTATCTTCAATCAGAGGGACTCACACTGTATCTATGATAAAATCACTATGAACACTATAATTCCAAATGCAGATGGTAGACTTTTATTGGCAACTCAGTTCGACCTGCATCATTGCTTCTGTTACATGATTTTCTGAAGGGGAACAACTCTGGTAAAGAAGCTCTGATCAGAAAAAGGAACCCACACCACTGCAGGTGGGAATGTAAACAGTGCAGCTGCTATGGAAAACCAGTATGGAGGTTCCTCAAAAAATTAAGAATAGAGTTACCATATGACCCAGCAACCCCTCTTTTGGATATCTACCCAAAAGATTTGGAAATATTTATTTACAAATAAAGACACATGCACCCCTATGTTCATTGCAACGTTATTTACAGTGGCCAAGACAAGGAAACAACCGAGTGCCCTTCAATAAACAACTGCATAAAGATGTGTATACGTATACAGTGAAATACTACTCAGCCATAAGAAAAGATGAAATACTGCCATTTGGGACAACATGGATGGGTCCATAGAATATCATGCTAGATGAAATTATGTCAGAAAAAGTCAAGAACCCTATCATTTCACTCCTATGTGGGATATAAAAGTGAAAGCACAAATGAACCAAAAAGAAAGAAAAGCTTGTAGACATAGACAACAGTATGGTAGTCACCGGAGGGCACAGGGGTGAGGGGGTGGTAAGGGGAGGGGTGGTCAAACATGTGTGGACGGAAGGAGACTTGACTTGCAGTGGTGAACACATGACGTAGTACACAAATGTTCTGTAACAGAATTGCACACTTCAAACCTATGTCACTCCAATAAATTTAATTTAAAAATTACAAAATAGCAAAACTATATGAAAGCTCTGAATAAATATAACCTTCTCTTAGTTTTTCCAATAAATGAATTCCTAGAAATTTCACCCTATGCAAAATTGCATATCTAATTATCTCAACTAGAACCCAATTTATTTTATTAATTTTTTTTTCATACTTGAATGTTGTGGCAAGAGGTGGGGACACCAGGAATCATGCAGGACTCGTGATGGTTGTTGTGTGGCACTGTCTGCCCGGACAGGATCCCTGACTCCCACCCTCTAAATGCCAATAGATTCTGTTCCAATCACCCTGACAAATGAAAACGCCCCACCCCACATCCTGGCCCCACAACCTCCCCATCCCAGTTAAGAAGCCCTGGTTTACATGGGAAGACTGCAGGCAGGAAAGACTCACAGGAGACATGCCACTTGCTGGATGGTTTGAGGTTAGTGAGTGTGGAATCAGAGTCAGGTAAGAAATGAGTCCTGGGCAGATCTCACATGCTGGGGGCTTCTGTGTGTATTCATTCTATTACCTCACCCCTCCTTCTCCGAAAAGCAGGGACTGCTGCATCAGATGGCCAGGAGGGGGCCACGAGTTGATTCACTCACTCACGCAATATTCTTTCACTTGATGGATATTCCCTGAGTCCTTGCCTGCTATGTGTCAAGCAAGCCCTGTACCTGCTGCCTACTCATATACTGCTGACAAAATCAGACTCAGTCCCTACCCATGTGGGGCTGGCAAGTGGCAAATGTGTGCTTGGGGAATGGAAACTAGGAGAAGCATCATTAAGGACAGAGTGGGGAGAGGATGTGATAGGAGGAGCTGGCACTAAGGAACAAACCCCAATTCAACAACATCCTAGAGAATGAAAAGCAAGCCAGCAGGGCTTTGGGAAGACACACAGGCTGGTGAGCGGGAAGGACTGGCAACAGGAATTGGGCTGGAATAGAAAATGAAACAAAAGAAAGGGACCCTCTGAAAACAGGAGGGCAGGCCCGGGAGGAGGAACAAGTAAAGAGGTTGTCCCTGCAGGTATGCAACTTTAAATAGTACTCACTGTTTTGCCAAATCAGCAAACCCCATCCTCATCCCTCTTCTGTAGCAAATTCTTGGATGAGTAAGTAGGTAAAGAAGCAGCTGTCACCCCCTGGCCCCAGCAAACCCTCCCTAGCTCACAGAACAGCACAGCCAAGGGGACACCAGCTTCTGAGCAGCTGCAGTGAGACTTGTGGGGAGCTGGGGATGAGTTCCTTCTATGCCCCTACTACAGGGACCAAGCAGCACAGAGTTCATGCTGCCACACCACTGAGTAGTCTCAGAACCTCGGTGTGGGGTGAGGGAGTGCAGCAGACAGAGTATAATGATCATGTATTATGCCAGGTTTTTTAAAGGCAATCCCAACAACTCCCAAATGTGCTGTTTTCCTGACAGCCATCCTGCATATCAAATAATAGCATAAGTTGCTGTCAGGTGCTTCACAAACTACAAAAGCTCTACCTCAATAAGGATTCTTGGTTGCAAGCAATAACCCAGTTCTGGATAACTTACATAGAAAAGAGAGATTAAAGGCTCTCAGGGGTTCACAGAACCATCAAAATGATGAGGTAATGGTGGCAGGAAAAGTGGAAGGAAATCAGGATAGCTCTGCAGAATCAAAAAGCTCTGCAGAATCACAACACCATCTTTTAGCAGGAAAAGCCTGGCCACCCACAGAATACTCCCGCAGCCTTCACAAATGACTCTAGAAGGAGTGACACAGTATAAATGCAGTGAGAATTCAGGTCGTCAGTGGGAGTGCCCACTGACCAAATCTATTCCGAAGGCCAGTGTCACAGCTGTCAGAACAGGGACAGAGTATACTTGGCCCCTCTACTTCCACCAGGAGGCTTATTATGGGTATTCCCCCAAAATGGGAAAAAGGGCTGAATACTAGGGAGCCAAAACAAAAGGAAGATGTCTACTTTAGGCTGCATAAATATAGGAACTTCTTATATACATTGTTTTCCACATACATAAACAAGGTAGCATGATAGTGAAAACCCTCAGTCCTGTAGCAACCAAGAGTTCTGCTAAATCCGTCCGTAACAGAGTGCTGGAGAGCACGGGCGTGTGTGGCACAGGCGGGCGCAGACTCTCCATCCAGAGGGATCTCCTAGAATGCAGAAAAAAGTACTGAATCTGGACTCGTCTTTTTCAGAAACTTAGTCTCAAACTCGGTTTGGGGCAACTCTTTTTGCCTAAATTTCCTCATCTCTAGATGAGATAAAAACCTGTCCCCCTACCTCAAGGATATGCTGGAAAAATAAACACTATGTCTTTTGGGCCAGGAGTACCTCAGAGTATGAGAGACTGTGAAGACCAAAGGTTGTCTGTGTATTGCACACCATCGCTCCCAAAGAGGAAGGATTTTACTGCATCATTGAAATGGGTGTTTTCCTAAGTATCTACCTCATAGGATCCTTTGCCAATTAAATGAGTTAATACAAATAAAGTGATTGGTATCAATGCTATACCTGGCATTTATACTCAGTATATGGTAGGTAATAAAGGGTAATTACTAAAGTGGCTAGTATTATAGCTGTTGCTGTTATCTGATGTTCTGGCAGCTGTTGGAGTAGATGCCAAAGAAAAGAAGCTCAACACGACTGCCAGGCAAATGGACCAGTATGAACATTGGGCCTGGCATACAAATACTAGATCTAATTTCTCAAAGATGGGAGTTAAAACGTGGAAAAAGCTGACTACTCACTGTACAGGCAGATGTACCACACTGCGAAGTGCCCCTTAGATGTAAAATTGAACCTGAGAGTGGGCGCAATCCTTTCAACAAATGAAACAAAAAGTGGGAGAGGCCCCAATCTAACCCCCAGGGCAAATAATGCTGCAGGTTTTCCTTCCGACGCAAAAGCACCACCAGGCTCTCCAGGGAAAAGCTCACTGCCCAGAACCTGAGCTCTGCAACTTCCTGGCTCCCCGAGGTCCCTTCTGGATGGACTTTTCCTGTTTCCAAACATGCACAGAAAAGAGGCAGGTGAAGCAGCAGGACTGTTCCCTGCCCCAGGGGTCAGAAGACCATCACTCCCCACACTCTCCTCAACTCCTGAGTTTTTCATTGAATACTAACCCTCCAGGTGCTTATCAAATGTAAGCTATAAATTTACTGGATTTTTAACAGTCTTCTGAGACAGCCTGTTTTACCTCATTTTTGGTGCCTGTTTCCTATCTCGGAACCAGTATGCTGAACCCAACACACTTTTATTGGGTGAAAAACACAGTGCTTGGGCTTACCCTGGGGACAAAGATGGACAAGACAGTACCTGCTCTCAGTGGGTTTATATTGTTCTTGGAGAGACGCAGTTTGTCACATTATACATCACTTTATCAAAGGGACTAATCAGTAACTGTGACATAAAGTACCAAAGGCACTGAGATTGGG